ATACTTAAATCCAATTATATACATACATACATATGATATATTCAACAATATACATACATACATATGATACATTCAATTATATCCATACATACATATGATTTATTCAACAGTATCCATACATACATACGATATATTCAACAACATACATACATACATATGATATACATACAACAACCATGGAAAAAAAACACAACAAACCCTTTTTCAGACCCATCACTTACCTGCAACAACATGCAGCGTGAGATTAGCAGGTATTGCCAAGTAGGGCTCGCAGCTGTAGAAACCGGCGTCGTCCCAGGTAACGTTGGTAACCGCAAGGGAACTCCCGTACTTGTGCTTCCTGACGGTGAGGGTGCTCCGCCGGTGGTCGAAGTTCACCATGCTGCCATTGTGGAACCAGAAGATGTAGGTCGGGGGCTGCGTGGCGTATTCCACGGTGCAGTCGAGGCGCAGGGTGACCCCCGTGTGCACGTGGATTTCGGGGGCTCCCTGGATGACCGCGCGGGCTTCTGGAAGGGTCGGGTGGGGGTGGTTAGATTTTGGTTGGGTTGGGGTTGGGAGTGGGTTTGGATGGGTGATAGGGGGTGGGTTGGGGTGGGTTGGGTTATGTTGGGCTGGGTTTGGGAGTGGGTTGGGTTTATGTTGGGTGGGCTGGGTTTGGGAGTGGGTGATAGGGGTGGGTTGGGTTATGTTTGAGTTGGTTTTGCATGATGGTTAAGCTGGTTAAGTTGGGTTGGAAAGTTTTGCTTGAAGTTGAACTAGGTTAAGTAGGATTGCACTGGATTAGATTAGGTTAGGTTTAGTTGGCCTGGGTTGGGTTGGGTTAGGGAAGGTTAGACTTATTTATGATATGTTAGAGTTTGATAAGTTAGTTAAGATCGTATATCATTGGGTAAGTTAGATATTTGCTATAGTTAGGTTTTCCTTTGTTCAGTTTCATTATTGATATAGTAAGTAAGACTAGGTTAAGTGTTACCTAAGTTATTGAATATGTTTGTTAGTATAAGCATTACTTTAATTGTTAGACATATCACTTAAACCATTACACACATTAATATACTTGTTACATAACTTCTTCATTACTATAGAGTACAAAAAATAACCAAAATTTTATTACGTCTAAACGAAAGCCCCATATAGGAAAAAAATCCAATATATTCACAAAAAAGAAAGAAAAAAAGTATTTTGTCATTAGCCAGGTTCATTAATTGGTGTCTATGACCGTTGATTAATATCCTCATTCAATTACAGATTCAAAAGGACGCTTTGAATAGGATCTGTAAAAGGGACAGCGCGTAATACGTGTACTCTTTGTTGATAATGCAACTAGTCTCATTTGCATATTGGTCCATATTGTTCATGAAGCCCTTGGTTTTCTAGTGAGTTAATGTGCATGGATAAACATTTTAGATGCTTTGATGTGGGTCTCTTTCTGTGTGTGTGTGTGTGTCTTCTCTCTCTCTTCTCTTCTCTTCTCTCTCTCTCTTCTCTCTCTCTCTCTCTCTCTCTCTCTCTCTCTCTCTCTCTCTCTCTCTCTCTCTCTCTCTCTCTCTCTCTCTCTCTCGTCCTCTCTCCTCTCGTTCCTCTCCTCCCTTCCTCTCCCTCTTCCTTCCCTCACTCCCCTCCCTTTCCTTCCCCTAATCTTCACTTTACCTCCCTCCTTATCCCCTCTTTCCTATCCTCCCCTCTTCCGCTCTCCCCCTCACTCCCCCTCTCTCCCCCTACTCCCCTCGACCCCTCTCTCCCCTCCTCACCTCCACTCTTCCCCTATCCCTCTCCCTCCCTCCCCTACCCTCCCCTTCACCCTTGCCCCCTCCTTGCACTTACTTACGACCTCAGCGTGAAAAAGAGTGACGTGGGGGTGGGTAGTCACTTGGCACTCGTACAGGCCGGCATCCGCTGCTCTGACGTCACGGAGGGTCAACTGCCACAGCTAAGGGTGAAAATATGGGAGAGGTTAGATGGGAAATGATCTTTATTGATTTGTGATTGGTGGTGGAAGTTAATGGTTGATGATGAGGATGAGATGAGGATGATGGTGATGATATGATGATGATGATGATGATGATGATGAGGATGATGGTGATGATGATGATGGAGGATGATGGTGATGATGATGATGATGATGATAGTGATGATGATGATGATGGTGAGAGTTGTGAAATAATGATGGTCATGATAATAGTTGTGAAATACAGTTATGATGGTGATGATAATGGTTGTGATGATTATGATGAATGATGATGATGAAGATGTGATGATGAGGATGATGATGGATGATGATGTGATGATGATGATGATGTGATGATGATGGTGGATGATGTGATGGATGATGATGATGGTGATGATGATGTGAGAGTTTGAAATAATGAGGTCATGATAATAGTTGTGAAATACAGTTTATGATGGTGATGATATGGTTGTGAGATGAATGGGTAATGATGATGTGATGAGTGATGAGGATGATGATGGTTTTGTGATATAATGATGGTAGTAAATAATGTGGATGATAATGGTATCGATATAATAATGATGATAATGGTTGTGATATAATGGAAATAAGGACAACGGTAGTGATATAATGATCATGATGATTATGATTGTGATATAATGATGATAATGATAATAGTGATATAAAGATGATGATAATGATAGTGATATGAAGATGACGCGGATCATGATAGTGATATCATGATGCTGATGATAATGGTCATATTATAATGACGTTGATGATAATGGTTGTTATATAAATAATGATAATAACCATAGTGATACATTGATAGTAACATGATGATGACAAAGATTAGTTTAAAAAGCGGAACCAATTAAGAAAATAAAGATTAATCACCTGTTCAAGACAACCACACTTTAGCTGATTAAACGAGAAAAGAAGAAATATTAGAGAGGCGGATTTGATTAATGTCCTTAAGTTGAGATCAAAGGAAACCGAAACAAACGTCGGAATTTTAAATCATTTTGAATGTGGAATTTCAAAAAAAGTTTTTTTTTTTTTTTTTTTTTTTTTTTTTTGATTCACGGTTTGTCTACTTCGATGCGGTGACAAGGAGACATAGTTAAAAAAAAAAAAAAAAAAAAAAAAAAAAAGATAATAAAAAATAATTTCTTGATGAATCTCTAACTTAGAGAAGATAAATATGTATGAGAGATTGGTATTAATCTTGTCATGGTGTTGAGAAAGAGCTGGGAATACGAGGAAAGATAATTGATAAATAGAGAGATAGAATTAAAGATAGATAAAAAAGAACTGCAGAGAAGAGAAGAGAAAAGAAGAGAAAGAAAGAGAAGAGGAGAGAGAGAAAGAGAAAAGAGAAAGAGAAAGAGAAAGAGAAAGAGAAAGAGAGAGAGAGAGAGAGAGAGAGGAGAGAGAGAGAAGAGAGGAGAGGAGAGAGAGAGCAGAGAGAAGAGGGAGAGAAGGAGAGTGTATGTGGTTGTCATAGGATAGATAGGACAGAGAGAGAGAGAGATACAGACAGACAGACAAGGATAATATATTAAGACACATGAGTAACAGAAAGAAGAACCGACAACGGAATTGAAAAGGGCGGACCGAAACAAAACAACAACAAAGAACAAAAAAGCCTACTTTCATATCCAAACACACGGAATAATCTCAACTCTCGAGTAATCCGGGTGAGCTCATCATTATCCTTGTCTCTCTTCTCTCTCGCTGTTTTCTCTTCTCTCTCTCTCTCTCTCTCTCTCTCTCTCTCTCTCTCCTCTCTCTCTCTCTCTCTCTCTCTTCTCTCTATCTCTCTCTCTTTCTTTTCTCTCTCATCTCTTTCCTTTCTCATCTTCACTCTCACTTTTCTTCTCTCTCTCTCTCTCCTCTCTCTCTCTCTTCTCTATCTTCCATCTCTCCGTCTCTCGTCTCTCTTCTCTCTCTCTCTCTCTCTGTCTGTCTGTCTCTCTCCTCTGCTGATTCTTCTCCTCTTCTTTTCTTTCTTTGTCACTCTCTTTCTCTCCTCCCTCTCTCTTTCTTTCCAAATATCTATCTTTCTGTCTCCCCTCCTTATCTCTCCGCTTCTCTCTCCTCTCTTCTTTTCTCTTCCTTCCTCCAGCATCATTACCAATTTTCTTCCTACCAAGCTCCCCGAGCTCCCCACGAGAGAGAGAGAAAGTGTGTGTGTGTGTGTGTGTGTGTGTGTGAGAGAGAGAGAGAGAGAGAGAGAGAGAGAAGAGAAGAGAGAGAGAGAGGAGAGAGAGAGAGAAGAGAGAGAGAGAGGAGAGAGAGAGGAGGTTAGAGTTAGAGAGAGAGAGAGGAGAGAGAGAGAGAGAGAGAGAGAGAGGAGAGAGAGGAGAGAGAGAGAGGAGAAGAGAGGAGAGAGAGAGAGAGAGAGGAGTGAGTGAGTGAGTGAGTTAGAGAGAGAGTTGAGAGAGAGCAGAGAGAGAGAAGAGAGAGAGAGAGGAGAGGAGAGAGAGAGAGAGGCAGAGAGAGAGAGGTAGAAGAGGTAGGAGAGAGAGAGAGAAGATGAGCAAGGAGAGCGAAGCGCGGAGGCGAGCGGAGAGGGGGGAGAAAGAGAGGAGAGAGAAGAGAGAGAGGCAAGTGACGACAGATGAGTTGGGAATCACAAAAAAAAAAAAAAAAAACATGCAAGAGAGAGAGAGGTAAGACAACGCGAGAGAGATAGAAGCAAGGAGAGAAAGAGAGAAAATAGAGGAGAAAGAAATTATTACATGTGAGAGCCGTCTGGACCAGCAAGTAGTACAAGATCAATGATAATGCAGAGACACATTACGTCTGGGGTGATTTTGCACAGATTCTGATAGACGGGAGGGTGAAGTGGGAAGGAGAGGGAGACGGGAAGGGAGAGAGGGAAGGAGTGGGAAACGGGTAGGGAGAGAGGGAAGGAGTGAGGGGGAGGATGGGGGGAGAGGCGAAGGGTGAGGGAAGGCAGTGGGAGGGAGAGGGGGGGCGGGAGTGGGAGGGAAGGAAGGGGTGGGAGGGAGAGGGAAGGTAGAGGGAGGACAGAGGGAAAGAG